AGGCCCCCCCGCCCGGAGGGGCCTCCTGGGCGGGCTCGAGCGGACGCCGGCCGCCTGTGAGCAGCGACGCTCACGGCCTCTCTGCGTTTCCAGCAACACCCGCCGGGCAGCAGAGGTCTGGATGGACGAGTACAAAAACTTCTACTACGCCGCGGTGCCTTCCGCCAGGAACGTCCCCTACGGCAAGTGAGTGTCGCCTGCGCCCCCCTGCTGCTCGCTGGGGGCCCCGGGGGTCGTGCAGTGGGCTGTGGCCGGAGTGGAGAATGCCCCCCCCCGGGGTGGGGGGCCGGGGGGGGCTGCAGCAGGCTCGCGGGAACACGGGCGCCCCCAGTTCTCACGGGCACGTTTCCGGGCGCGGAGCGGGGAGCCCGTCCGTTCCCACGGTAAAGGCGCCGTGTGTCTGTCCCCAGCATTCAGAGCCGACTGGAGCTCAGAAAGACACTGGCCTGCAAGCCCTTCAAGTGGTACCTGGAGAACGTGTACCCGGAGCTGAGGTGAGCCCAGGGCTTGGAGCGGCCCACGTCCCCGAGGCCGGGAGCGGGGAGCCCGTGTGGTGTCCCCACCCACAGCCGTCCCCAAACACCGCGGAGAATGCGCCTGCTGAGCTGTCCTCCTGTTCTTCTCGGAGCTGGGCACAGTCCCAAGGTGTCACCTGTTTAGCTGGTCCCTGCTGGGCAGATGGCAGGGCCCAGAGACCCAGGGGACTGCTGCTTAGCCAGCTCCGCAAGTGGCCAGAGCATCAGCTCGCGGCCCCCGTGTGCACTCTGTGCCTCGGCCCTGGTGCCTCCGTCCTGAGTCCTCCCTGTCCCCGGTGCTCCCGGCCCATACCTGGCCTGTCACTGACACAAGCTCTGCATCCCGAGGAAGAAGAAATGTTCTCGTCAGAACTCCCAGGTCTGCAGGCCTCAGGGTGCGTCTGACCTTCATCTTAAAGCGACTGCCGGAGAGCTTGGCCTTCACGTGGCCCAGTCCGTATCCGAATGTCCCCAGAGCACCTCGCAGTGACCGAGTGCAGGTCCCCACCCTCGTCCTGTGTGCCGATGGCCCCTTCAGAGCCTTGTCACAGACTCGCCGGGGCGCAGTGGTCGGCCTGCCTCCGTCATAGCTTGGCCGGGGCTGGGAACGGTGAGGTCCCCAGCAGGCAGCCCCGGTCACCGTCTCTCCCCAGAGGGGCTTCTGCACGTGCACTGCGGCCCCACGAAGGTGTCCACTTTGCTTTGCCGTCACCGTCCCCTGTGACTGGACCAGTGTGACGCGAAGTGCACTGTTTGACCCTGCTTGTCCGTGTTTTGGGGTGCACTGAGCCCCGCACCACGTGAGACCACACCCAGGGTGCTCGGGACCACGGCCATGTGGGGGTCTGTGCGCCCCGTCTTTGCGGGGCGAGGGAGACGGCGGCCGAGTTCCCGCCTGGTGTCCGGGCGAGAGTTTCCCGGGGCCAGGCAGCTGCTGAAGGCGCCGGCGGTACGGGGTGCGGGGTGTGGGGTGTGGGTGCTGCCACCGCCCTGCTGGGGGGCCCTGCGGAAGGGGCCGAGGTCAGAGAGCAGGAGTGAGGCCGCTCGCTGTGCGGGAGAAGACGGGGCTGCGCCCCCGAAGCACGTGGCTGCGCCCCCGAGCGCTGTCAGGCCTCCTGGCAAACCCGCCCGCGTCCCCTCTGCTCAGCAAAGGTCACACCCTGGCCCAATGCAAGCGTGGAGGCCGCAGGCCCCGCCACACCCAGCTTTGTCTCAGCGGCCCCCCTGGGGGCTCCGCGGGGGCTTCTCTTCCCCGACGCAGAGCAGGACGGGCCGGCAGCTCCCGTTAGGCCGGGAGCCCAGCTGCTCTGCGGAGCTGCCTGTGGGGGGTGGGGCTGGTGCCCTTCCCTTCTGCCGGGGCCGAGACCCCCAGACAGGGTGGACGGCGGGCAGATGACTCTCCTGTTGCTTGCAGGGTTCCTGACCACCAGGACATAGCTTTTGGGGCCTTGCAGCAGGGGACCAACTGCCTTGACACGTTGGGCCATTTTGCTGATGGTGTCGTTGGAGTTTACGAATGTCACAATGCCGGGGGGAACCAGGTACGTACGCAGGGTGGACGGCAGCCCCTGGAGACCCCGAGAGCCCCACGAGGGTCCAGCCGCCCCCTTCTCCTGCGACCGCAGATGTGTGTGGGGACACGGCCTGCTGCAGGCGGCCTCAGGGTCGGACGGGGCGTCCCAGGTCTTGTCTGACACCTGGAGCCCGTCACCGGCCTCGGGCTGCTCCAACGCCGACGTCCAGGGACCGACCAGGGCCGGCTGCGGGCTGGCGGCCTTTTCCGGCTCCCCGCCCTCTCCCCCTGCGGTGCGTGCGCACCCGAGTGCCCGTCCTGAGTCTGGTCCGCGTGTGCCAGTGAACACTGCCTGCGTGCCCACTTAGTGGGTGCTTTACCGTGGTCGCTGGCGGCCGAGGTCAGTTGTTCTTGCTCTTGGACAACAGTAGTTTAAGATGCAAGGTGCTAGTGGCTTCTGGCGTCGGTTTGTCACACACACCTTTTCCCGGGGGCATCAACCCCCTGCCCCGTGGGAGAGGGGGCCGTGGAGGCTGCACGAGCACAGCCGTGTGTCCGGGAGGCAGCCGAGGGTGGGCATCGTGCACAGAGAGGCTGGACAGCACCGTGTCCCCTGCCGCCTTCTCAAACACGCCGGCTCGCGAAAGGCAGTGGAGCTCAGTGCGTCAGACTTGCCGACGCCAGGACATGCTTCACGCAGGATGATTGTTAGAGAGGCTTCCGATTCCCGGCCTCCCCAGGAGTCCTTGGTGGACTGCGGGTCCCAGACCCTCGCCCCCTCTCCGCTTGGTGACGTCATTTAGGCCCTGGACGTCCTAAGTTAGACGAGGGGAGGGGGAGAGGGTGGGCTGTCACGTCCAGCTCCAGCCGGTGTCCGGCCCGGCCAGCACCTGCCCCCAGCTCCCAAGATCTCGACTGTCCTTAGAGGGTGTTTTTGCCCCCGAGGGTGGTCCCAGGGCACAAGCCTGGGCTGTGGGCGGGCGCACGGCCAGCCTCTGGGTGCAGCTCCGTTTCCTGGCGTTAGGCACTAAACCCCGGGGACGTGGGTCCCGTTTGTACCTTGCCCCAGGCCCGCAGGTGCTGGGACTGGGCCCCGAAGAGGAACCACGGCAGGGGGAAGCCGTGGCAGAGGGGGCCGTGTCCACGGGGGCGGCGGGGGGTGTGTGTGGCCACCTCGAGCCCACACGCCCTTCGCTCTGAGGCCCTGCGAGGTGCTTTCCTCCTCCTGGCGGGGAGCAGGAGGCCTGTGTGACGCCCTTCACGCCGGTCCCTGTCATGCGGGGCGGGTCCGACCACCCAAGCCACGTAGTGTGGGCCTCGTGTGACGTGGGGACGCAGCGGGGCCTGGAGACGCGGCTTTTATGTCTCCGTTCGTGACCAAGATGAAAATACTAGTCTCACCCTTGGCAAGGCGGAGCTTTGTGACGACAGGGGCCGCGAGCATCTGCTCTCCAGATGCTCCGGTCGAAGGGCCTCGGGTCTGGGGCCTGGACCAGGAGCTGGCGGACGCCCGGGGGCTGGGCGCCCCTCTGCTCGGTCTGCGTGTGGCGTACACGATGCTGCCCCAGGTGCTCGCCGTCCGCTCCCAGACCTTCGTTTCTCCCGCTCAGCCTCACGCCTGTCCCCGTCTGTCCCCTGCCTGCGGCCACGCTCGGCCACCCTCATCCTCTGGTTCCGCGCCCTTGGATGGTCTCGTTCAGCATTCAGACCGAATGGCTGTGCTCTCAGCCCAAAAGTGGGGTGTGTGTGTGAGCACGTGTGTGTGCACGCACACAAACGTGTGTATACATATGTGCACATACACGTGCATGCACACATCTTCGTGCATGCGTGTACATACATATGTGTGTGTTTTTCAAACCATGGGCAAATTCGTTCAGCATGACCTGGCTCACTTTTGTCATCTGCAAAATGGGGATAATGAGCACGTGTGTGAGCACACACACAGGCGTGTGTATACATACGTGCACACACATGTGCATGCACACATCTTCGTGCATGCGTGTATATACACACGTGTGCGTGTTTTTCAAACCATGAGCAAATTCGTTCAGCATTATCCGGCTCACTTTTGTCATCTGCAAAATGGGGATAATGACAGCCTGTCGTGGGGGCACCGTGTAAAAGGGTTTATGACGGGACGGGGCTTGGACACAGGCACGCGGTGTGGGCGGGGAGCCCTCGGACCTTCCTCAGGCTCACGGGCCCACGAGCATCCGTGGGTCAGCTGAGCGTGGTGACGAGGCCACACGCTGTGTAGTTTGCTTCGGTGTGCGATGTCACGTGGGAGCTTTACACGTCGCAACCCCCACGCACACATGCCACTCACCACCCACACCTGCCCGGGGCAGCGTCTCTCCACAGTCGCAGTCACGCAGGTGTAAAGTTGACCTGAACTGTGCCCCTTGAGGTGACCAGGCCTGAGTGGCAGCTTTGCAGCCCACGTGGGGTCACAGAGATGGGGGTGGCCGCTCTGATTTGCACTGGGGCTAAAATAGTCTCAGAGCCGCTTTGCACGTCGCCGTGGCGGCCGGGGCCTGGTTCGGGGCGCTGAGGGCCCTTCCCGCCGGGCGCTCACCGTGCCGCGGCTCTGCCTTCTCGGCCGCGTGCGAGGCCGGCCTCTGACCTCCGCCCTGTGTTGCAGGAGTGGGCCCTGACCAAGGAGAAGTCGGTGAAGCACATGGACTTGTGTCTGACCGTGGTAGACCGGGCGCCTGGCTCGCTCATCAAGCTGCAGGGCTGCCGAGAAAATGACAGCAGACAGGTACGGCCCCCGCCCAGCCGCCCCAGGCCGCTCCCCAGGCCGCTCGCTCTCTGTCCCCCGCCCCGGCCACTCCTGCCCTGGCTTCGCCCATCCTTCCGTTCCCGCTGGGCCTGTTCGCCCCAGGCTTCCCCGACCTGGACCGAAGGGCGGGGCCGTGTTTGCCGTCCGTCGCGTCTTCCGCCCGCCGCCCCGGAGGTTTGAGGTTTGCAGGGCCTGCTCCAGGCCGGCGGCTGCCGGGGTGCTCAGCGCCCCCGGTCACGTCCCACCCGCCCAGGCCTGCGGGTAAGTGGTGCCGGTGCCGATGAGGGGGATGCAGAGGTGGGAGCCTGGACGCTGACCCCGTCCTGAGCCGGGGCTAACGGCTAGTGGCAGAGACTTGCAAAGGACGTCCTGCCAACCTGTGGAGCACTGGCCCATCTTGTCGTGATCCCTCCTTGTGAGGTTGGCAGGTGTGGGGAAACCGAGGCACAAAGCCTGTGGGGGGCCAGGAGCCACCTGGGCTTCGGTCCAGCAGCAGAAGGGGATGGTGAGGCCAAGCCCAGGTCCCTTGCTTGGATCCCAGGCGTCAAGGCCATGCTCGCAGAGGGTCATCCTCCCCACTCCCCGACCACCCTCCGCAGCCCCGCCCGGTTTGAGGGCGGGTGCTTGGTGCCGCCTGTCATTGTCACGCCCTGACACTTCTTGGTGATGATGCGTTTCCTGACTAATGCCCTGGGGAGTAGACTGACTGGAACAAAGGAGGCCGCTGTCCCTTGGTCCCAGGCCCCCTGGAGCTCTGCAGCGGGGCATCGCCCTGCGTGTGACGGTGGCCTCTGCAGACAGCTGTGATCGGGTGGCTTCCTCTGGCCTCCGGGCCTTTCTAAGAGACGTGGACGCACCTCCCTTTAGCGAGAGTTTGCTTTACGCTGGGCGTTAACGGGGTTCCTGCCCTGATCCCCGGCCTTGGGGACCATGCCGGATACCCCTGAAAGGCTCGCACTACAAAGGGGAAAACCAGCGAACAGTTCTTTCCCAACGCATGGGGGACGTGGGGACCTGTCACACTGTCAACCCCGAGGCTTAGCCGTGGGGCGTGGGCCAGCAGCAGAGCCTCAGGGCTGCCCCAGAAACACCCCCTCTGCACCCCGGCAGCCCTCCAGCTGTCCCCGCTGCGCGACTGTCCCCAGGGGCAGGAGGGCAGATGCTCTGACACGTGACAGGCGGAGCCTCCAGAACAGGGAGTTTGGCTCCGTTCATCTGTTCCTCCTGGCTCTGATTCCTGGTCACTCAGTGACGCTGGCTGTGGCTGGCCACCCACACTTTACATGACAATGGCGGAAGGGAGCCAGGGATGCAGAGGGGTGGGGCCCGGATGCGGGGCTGGGAAGCAGGGGTGGGGAGAGGCAGGGGGTGTGGGGCTGGGATGGGGGGCAGGGACGCGGGGCTGGGGGTGCTGGGGGCCCAGGCGCCTGCCCCTCGCGTGAGCGCCCTCACTCGGTGTGTGGCGGGCCCTCCCAGCGCACCCTGAGCGACCCCAGACTGTTGGGCGCTGGGTCCCTCCCCGCCTCACCCCTGCCCTCTGCGAAGAGGGTCCTGAGCTCGTTCTGTCTGGAAGCCGGTAGTCTCGCCGCCGGGCCGTTCGGTTTCCAGGCGCATCCGCGTTACGAGCGCGTGGCAGCGTCAGGGAGCAAAGGAGGGAGAAACGGAGGGAGAAACGCGCCTCCGCGGCATCAGGCAGATTTGCAAACACGCCGCCGAGGGGCTTGGGCGCAGCGTGAGAAGTCGGAGCCCCAGGGCGCTCGTGCGTGTTCCCGGCGCGAGCACCCGCGGTTGCCACGTGGGCCGAGCGGGTCGGAGGCCCCGGTTTCCTTCTGGAGGCCGCGGGCTTCGCGTCCTGGCTCGGTCGGTCGGTTCGCTGGGCGGCTGGGGGTCGAGGCCGGTGGGTTTGCATTCGGTGGCAGTGTGCGTACACACGTCATAGCACACGCCACACCCTGTACTTTACAAGTGGCACCTTCCGAACTCAGCGGGCACTGTGTGGGCGCCGCTGTGCGGGGCTGGGGGGGCCTCGCGGGGCTGAGAAGCCTCCACCCCCGCGGCGCTCGCCCTGGCAGAGGAGACCGGCGAGCCAGAAACGGGCTCCTCACGCGAGCTCCGTCCACGTCGCTTCTCTGCCTCTTGTTCACCCGGACGGTCCCCCCCGATGCAGCGAGCGTGAGGCCCCCGGTGGGCGTGGGGAGCCCCAGACCGAGGCGGCGGACAGGCCCGTGGGCTGGTGCAGTGCCCTGTGGCCGCCTCGGGGTGCGGTGTCAGGCTGAGCCCGTGGGAATCAGAGTCCCCCCAGGAAAGCAGCACAGCGTGGAGGAGGGGACGGGGTGGGGCGGGAGCGGGGGACTCGAGCAGGGCCCGGGAGAGGGTTTGAGTTGAAACGAAGGCGGGGACTGGAGTTCCTTCCCGGGCCCTCAGACCCGTGGCCGCCATCCCGGGCCACCATCTTGGTGACCGGAGACTGGAAAAGGGTTTGTTTCTGGAGCAGCCACCAGACCCTGGAAATGCATGTGCCTGCGGTCACCCTGGGGGGCAGCCTCCTGTTGCCCTGGTCTGAGCTCGCACCCGGAGACACCCCGTCCCTTGGTCCCCCCTGAGACATCCTCTGTCCTTGCAGAAGTGGGAGCAGATCGAGGGCAACTCCAAGCTGCGCCACCTGGGCAGCAACCTGTGCCTGGACAGCCGGGCGGCCAAGGCCGGGGGCCTGAGCGTCGAGGTGTGCGGCCCCGCCCTGTCTCAGCAGTGGAAGTTCTCGCTCAACCTGCAGCAGTAGGAGGCGCGGCCGTCCTCCCCGCCGCCGGCCGAGTTGCGATCACGTCGTCGATTATGTTTCTCAACTTTCCACGAAACTATATACCTCAGTATCCATCACGTCTGACGTCGGAAGCTGCACACGGCGGTGCCGGGCGCTGCGGTGGCCACAGCCGCTGGACGTGCCGGTCCCTCCCCGGAGGCCACGCCAGCCCTTCCCCCAGCGTCCGGGGGTTCCCCGCGTCACCGAGGGCTCCGGCGGGGCCCGAGCAGGGCCCGGCGTGGGTGCGGCACAGCGCTGAGGACCCGGAGCCCCGTGTCGGCCCCGTCACCGTCCCGCACACCGAGCCGCCACGGCGGGTCATGGGTCCCCTCCCCGCTCCCGGCCCCCAGCCACGGACGCCGCCTCGTGACCCACTCGCTCCGTTTGAACGTGGACCTTCCCAAGCGGGCGCTGGGCACGAGTGCCCCGTCCTCTGCCTGCAGGTCGTCTCCATCCCGTCAAGCCCCACGAAGCGGTCCCGGCCGGGCTGCCACACCGGCCGGGCCTCCCCGCAGCTGCCCCGGAGCCGGCGGTGCCCGGGGGCCGGCGAGCGTCACGCTGTGGCTCTGGCCCAGAGTCACTGCCCGGGCGGAACCCACCTCCTGCCCTCGATCTGTGAACCTGGGTGGGTTCCATGCTTCGACAAACACTGCTTTAGGTCTTTCTAAATTAAATTTCTTTTCTCTAAGGAAAAAAAAAACACACCCAGCTCCCAGTGACTGCCGGAAGCTGTCACAGGCCAGCGTTGGGCTGATGGTGAGTGCCCTGGCGTGCAGGCAGCACTGTCAAGGTCACCTGCCTGCTCAGGCCCTCCCAGCTCGGGGACGCCTCAGGGGCTTCGGGTCAAGGATAGCAAGGACGGGAGAGCGGGGTTTCGGGGCCCGGGGCGAGCCTGCGGGGTAGGGTGCAGCCCCCGGGGCGAGCCTGCGGGGTAGGGTGCAGCCCCCGAGGTGAGCCTGCGGGGTTGGGTGCAGGCGTCAGTGTAAACCCCAGGACAGTTAGGAAGATGGAGTGATGGGAAGAGACACCTGTCCCTGCAGGCCCCACCTTGCCTTCGAAGTGTCCCCTGTGCGGGGACAGACCCGCCCCAGCCCCCGCGGGTGGCTGCTTGGCGATTGTCCTGGCCAGTGCGCTCCTTCACCCCCGCTGCCCACCCCTCCCACGCCCTGCCCCGTCTCCAGGAGGCCGGTCCCATCAGCAGTCACGTGCTACCATGCGGTGGGACACGCGTCCGAAACGCACGTCTTCAGGCCCCTTTGGGAGGGACCAGCCGGCCACACAGTGAGAAGTGGCCCCAGGAGCTTGTGCCAGGTCGACATGGCCAAGGGCTGTTCTCTGTCCCGCCTGGTTCTTTCAGGGCAGACGGGTGCTCTTCCTTGCTCCCCACAGGCTGGCTGCTCTCTGGCAGCAGCTCAGGCACGGACGCGTGGCTGGGTGACGTTCCTCTGTCTCCCCGCTTTGGCCCCCGCCAAGCAATCCGCTGCCTTTTCGGCGGACGGAGGGCAGGAGCTGGACTCGCTGCGCAGTTGCCCCTGACCGCGGGTGGCCCCCCCGAGTCTGCGGTCCCCGCGTCAGGCCGTCCACTGCCGCGCGGGGCGGGAGCCGCCGCTGGCACACGCAGCCCATGCACCTGGCTCTGTTGTCGGACGTGTCACCTGTGAGCTCTCACTGCTTAGAAAAATGTCCCATTGATGGAAAACAGATTTTAATTCGGCTCTTAACGACCCTTGGCCCGCACAGCTCCCCCCAACCCAGAAGTCTTCCCAGCCTTTGCGCCATCTGTGCAGGGACACCCGGTCCCTAGGGGGCAGTCCCCGTCCCCGAGCTGGGCTGGCGGGATGGCGTGGTGTCGTGAGCAGGGGTGGGCTGGGAGAGCTCCCACGAGGTGAGCTATGTTTACATGACACAGTGTGCCAAAGTGACTTACTGTGGTTGCATTATTTTGTAGTCATGGGGACTCGCACCCTCCCGCGTTTTTACAAATAAACATTCTTTCGTAAGAGCCCCTGAGCACAGCCTGGCGAAGCTGGTCATCTTCTCTGTGATGGTCTTTTCTTACGTCTCCATGAAACGGTGGCATCTGTATGTTTTGCAAATTCAAAATATAGTTTGGTAATTTTTTTTCCAGTTGATTTTTTAAAAGAACTGCTGTACAGAGCTTGTACTTTGTCCATTTTATAGATGGAAACCATCCTTGAAAATTGTTTAACTTAAATAAAGAGAAGATACTTTATAGGTAACGCCCCCTGGTGGCCGCCGCTGTCATTCTCGGTCTTTGTGGGGTGAGTGTGGCTGGCCTTGGACGGTGGCGACTGTGGTCACTCTTCCGGGGACCCTGCTCCGTCGCCGTTCCTTACTGCATTTCTAAAACGCACCCACCGTGCACCGCCGCCTCGCATGTGTCGGAATCGCTACCATTTCTAGAGTGTTCGCGCCGTGCCAGACACAAAGCCAGGCCCGTCGTACGTCATCACCATCCTTTCCCAGTAACCCGTGACGTGGCGTTTCGGGCTGCATTTCTCCGCTGGCTGGGAAAGCTGGTGCTTGAAGCTGTCACCCTCTGCTCAAGGTCAGGGGCTAGCCCGCTCGAGGTCACTCCCCTGGAGTCAGCCCTGGAACCACTGAGACCCAGAGCCCACAGTCCAGAGCGGGGCAGGGACAGCAGGCCGCACCTGCTAAGCTCGTGAAGTGCAAGCCTCTGCCCACGTGTTCGCAGCTGCCCGGGGTCTCGGCGCCCTCCGCGGCTGCTCAGGCTCGGCCTTTTAAAATACCCGCCTTTCAGCCACCCCCCGGGTGTGTCGAGGAGACACGACACTGGGGCGCTGGAAACGGGTGAGCGTCCTGGAGGCCGCGTCTAAGCAGCATCCTCTCCATCGGAGGCGACCACGCCTTTGGCTCTCTTGCCATCTGAGAAGCAAAACAAGCTCTGAACGTCACTGCAGAACCCATCAGCGCTCAGACTCGTGCGTGCGTGTGCGTGCGTGCGTGTGCTGTTCCCGCCTGGCCAGCAGGAAAAAGTTTATTCATAAATCTTCGTGACACCTCCCCGTGTTCCCCGGCGGCTGTGAGGTCGAGGGAGGGAAGGAGGCGGCGGATGCCAGGAGAGATGGCGGGCGCGGTGCCCTGCAGGCTCAGCAGGCGGTGTGGGGACAGCGCCGGGTGTCCCCCACGCTCAGGAAGCAGTTGCAGCCAGGCTGGGGGGAAGGGAGGTTCTGGGGGGTGGGACCTAGGGCAGCCATGGACTGGAGCAGATTTGCAGAATTTTTTAGAATAAAACAGTTAACTCCTTGACTGCAGCATAGTTCATGTTTAAAAATGTGTCCAGCCAGAAAAATTAAATATCCCTGCACGCTTTATCTGTCCACGGATCGACCTAAAGGAAAAAAAGAAATTGTCTTTCTAGATGTACTTATGTGTTTCTGAGCAGTTTACTAATGATACAACGTGTTCGTGTTGGATCTTATGTATCCAATGTGCCTGCAAATGAGACGGGCAACGTTTCTGGGAGACTTTGTATCCATAGGGTCCCGGACAAATGATGAGGAACATTCTCGGTGGCAGCTCCTGCCTGAGCACCTATGGCCCAGGCCCCGGGGGCCGGCTGGGGGCACCTGGGCTGCAGAAAACACCTCCGTGGTTCTCGTCCTGGTTGCTCCTCTGGGAGTCACACTCTGAACCAGTTGCTGACTTTCCGCTTGACCCCCCCCTCGGCCCCCTCGCACCCACACACCCCACCAGGGAACAGGAAGACAGTGAAAAACGTGCCTTCTCTCTCCTCCCCACCCCGACCCCCTTTCTGTCCGTCCCCTCCTCTCCCAGCGGCCAGCCCGCCCCACCCCTCCGGACTTCTCAGGCCCTCGGGCCCAGAACCCGCACCCAGGCGCTTTGGCAGCTGGCCACAGTCGGCTCCCCGTGCCTTCGTGCTCGGCCATGGGGTGGGTGCCGTGGGCGAGGGGTCGGGGTGGACGCGACCAGTTGACGAGGGCAGCGCCCACCATGCCACGCGGAAGAGTTCTGCGTGGGGGCCACGTGGTCTCAGGATTCCTCGTCCTCGGTGCGTGGTGGCTGCAGGGTGTCCCAAGCCAGTTCACCCTGGTCCTCTGATGCTCGCTGGCAACTTGGAGCCTCCTCTGAGCTTGTCGAAGGAACAGGGCACGTGGTGCGAAGCTGCAGAGGCGGCTGATTAACTGGCACACAGTCGTCAGAGTGATTTATAACATGCTTCCCAGCTCCTTAGGTGGCAGTGGCCTCCGATGTGGCAGCTACTGCACTTTCAAAGTACTGATGAGCATAAAGTGTCATGAAAAATTTGCAGTAATTAGCGTGATGTGAAAATACCTGATTTTTTTTATTGGTAACGAAGTTCTCAGTTTACTAGCTACATTCGGCTGGGGGTTCATGGAAGTAAAGATGTCATTTCCCCCACGTGTCTGAACCCTCTACATTTGAAGAATTTCCATGTGGGTGGCACCTGCGGTCCCCGCCTGTGGTCTGGGGCCATCTCGAAGTGCCTGTGGTGGTGTCCTCTTGCTGCGGGGCAGCTGGGCCAGGTGTGACCCTGGACCTGGTGACCGACGCCATTTCTGAGCAAAGTGGGACGAGATGCCTTTGGACAGACGTGCGTGAGCCCAGCTCCTGCAGACGCAGAGGCAGTCACCGAACTTGCGTGTGTGTCGGACAGGTGCCCTGGGCAGCTGGGAGGGGCGGTAGGGAGAGTGCCCGCCTGGCCGAGTCTGCGACACGTGCGCTCAGGCCTGGGGCTTCTGACCGACGTCTCTCCATGCCGGAGTCGCATGGGGACAAAGTGGCAGAAGGCGGCCGGGTGAGCAAGGCGCCGGAATGCAAGCCTGAGGCCTGTCTAAAAATGCCTCTTGATGAGAGACGGAGGTGTGTCGTCTGCCGCGGGCGTGGCCCTGTCTAGGAAGCTGTCATCTCCGAGTCCCTTCGCTGGGACTCAGCCGGGGCGTATGGGGTGTGTGCTGCCCGCCCAGCTGCCCCGGTGGCCAGCACTCCCCTTCACGGGCCTGTGTGGGGCTGTGGGTGGGGTGAGCAGGACAGGAGGGAGTCAGTCCTGGGGACAGACTGATACTCAGTTGACCACCTGTCCGGGTGCCACGCAGACCTGAGGAAGGGGACGGCAGAGGGACAAGTAGAAGGAGAGGGGTCCCAGTAACCCCGGCCGGACTTGCCAGGCCCTGGAATAAATGCCTCACCGTCCCAATCACCTCTAAGCTTTACAGCCTGCGAAGTCATTCACTGCTGGGGAAACTGAGGCTCCAATAAGCCGGGCCCTTTGCCCAGTTTACTCAGCACCGAGCAAGGCGCTGACGCCGTGATGCCCTCGTCCTGGTCCCGCGGGGGGTCAGTGGCCGGGGCCCAGGTGCGGAGCCGCAGCGGCCAAGGCAGCCTGGGCAGTGGGGAGCGAGGCCTGGCTCCTGCCACTAACGTCCAGCCTGTGAAATGGGACAGTTGCTCTCGGTCGAGAGGGGCAGTAAGACACGGAAAGCGAGGCCTGGCCGGGCTGCGGCTCCCAGGAGCCCCCGGTGTTCGCTGCAGGTCGGGGCGGGGGCCGTGGTCACACAGAAGGAAGCCAGCCTGGAGCAGGGGAGCCGAGGAGGTTTCTTACAGGCTCCGCATTGTCAGAAAGTGCGCGCATCGGAGTAGGGACCCCCTCCCCCCGGAGTCAGCAGTGGGGACCGTGCAGGTCCTGAGATGCCACCAGGGCCTCTGGAGAAGGACAGATGGCCGAGGAGCTGGGATGCACAGACGCAGGCCCGACGCCGAGGTGGTTTCCCGGCTAGGGTGACAGACGCCACAGGCAGCTACGGCCCCAGAGCCGAGCACCGAGAGCTGGCGGTGAGCGCCGGGAAGGAGTTCGGAGCAGGGCCCGGCCTTCTGCCAGGGCCAGGTGAGCAGGTGAGGAGGGAGGGAGCAGGTGAGGGGCGTGGGCAGGTGAGGTGACCCGGGTTGGAGGGGGCCTGGGCAGCGGAGGGGACGTGTGGGGACTGGCCGCTGGCTCAGGTGACACCTCTGGGAAGAACCGGGAGGGTGAGGCTGGCGGGGCAGGGTGACGAGCCGAGAGCTCCCCAGAACGTTCTGAGTCGGGGGCCGCCCTAACCCCCGAACCTCACAGTGCAAGTGGAGCTGGTCTTCAGAGGCGAGGAAGGTGGCGTGAGGTAAACGCGGGGCCCGACCCCAGGTGACTTAGGAGAAGCGGACGTGAGGACACAGACACGCCCGGGGGGACCCCACAAGGACAAAGAGAAGGTGGCGTCTCACACTGGGGAGTGGGACCTCAGAGGGGACGGCGCCCGGTCCCGGTGACACTTCGACCCGGTTCCGGCCTCGGGACCGCGAGGCGCGTTTCCGCTATTTCAGCCGCCCGGTCCGGGCCCTCGTCACAGCCACCAGGCGACTCTGCGAGGCTGGTGAACCCCAAAGCCACAGGGCAGGGAGGCTCGGCCTCCCAACCCGACGTCCACGGAGCGGCCGCCAGCACTGGACGGGGCCTCGGCCCTGCCCGACGGCGCACGCCCCGCGTCCCCAGGGTCCCTCCCGCAGGGGCCACGTTCGCCGAGCGGGCCTCGGCCGTGCTGGCTGCTTCCCCAGCGAGCTCAGCCAGGTCTCCGCGGGGGGCTCGGGGCCGGGAAGTCACAGCCGAGTCGCCGCTGGTGCTCGGTGCTTGGAACGCAGCCCTCAGGCCGGAGACGCGCTCTGGGCTGTTGACACTGAAGCCTGTGCACAGGGCGACTCCTTTGGGAGTTAGAAACGGAACCAGCCAAACAGCCCGCGGCCCACGACTGTCGCCCGGGGCCGAGCCCCACCAGCCGCTCCAGCTGCGGCTCCCGGGCTCCTGCGCACAGACCCCGGCCCGCCCCAGGCCCCCAGACAAGCTGGTGCTGGTCTTGGGGCGACACGTTGAGGAGCAAGGCGCCAGGCTCGGGCCAGGACGGGCGACCACCTTGCGAGACAACAACGTCCCCACGGTCGCTGCTGAGTCACCCGGGGCAGGGGGAGGCCGTTCCGGGCGGTGTGCAGGTGGCGGCCTCTGGGCAGCTGCCACCGGCCCGAGTTCCGTCTGCCGGTGCGTCGCCCGTCAGTGGGCCGTGGCCGCGCGCAGCCAGTGACCTCACTGCGACCTGCTGAATCCGCGAGGTCGAAGCAGCCGCGAAACGCGTCCGGGCTGCACAGCACGCTCGGGCGTGGGCAGTGGCGATGGGGGGGCCTCGACCCGGGCGGG